TTGCCAAGCGACGAAAACCCAATCCCGATGGCAAACACCGGGGGGGCGGCTTGTTTTACAACGTCGTTGCCAAGCGACGAAAACCCAACCCCGATGGCAAACACCGGGGGGGGGGGAAGCTGAAGCCCCTACCGTGTGTCATGCGTTCTGAAAGTACTCTAGTAGTATCGGTTGTCGATTCCGTTTGTTGTGGTTGTGGGCGTCCAAGACGCGTCTACTGCTGTTTCTTGATTCACGTGTCGCATACGACAGTCGGCTGGAGAAGCGCCAGGCAGGGAGGCGTGTGGGTACACATTTCTCTGCCGACGTGCCCCCACTTGCCTAGCGCATTTGTCCATGACAGTAAAGGCAGCCCTCCTGGTGTCAAGTGTCGTAGGTCTGGCATTTGTAGCGGGGGGGAATGCCTGATACACCGGGGTCGCAAAGGGACACCTATCTACCGTACACCCCACGGAGCCCCTTCCCCATTGTTGACCTCACCCCTCACCCTAATCTCAACATTTCCGCGGTAATTGATCGCTCTGGCTGCTGGCCCACCGTTACGGGTGGGAGCGTTTTTATGACGACCCCAAAGACGTCTACTAGGCGTTCTAACCGGGCAACTCGGAAGTGTTTGAAATTATTCCGTTTTCCGATTTCGGTTCGTCCGTTCTTTTTTCTCCTTGTTTATGCTGGCTATGAAAGGGTGTCTAGCTTGTAGTGCAGGCGGCGCAGGATTTTTGGTTGTCGGTCGATATGCGCGCAGCATTGGAACTTCATTATCCCCTCCCACCCCAACGCTCTCTCTTATTGATTTTCCTTTAAGGCATCGTGGGATGGTAACTTGGGAGGGGTTCGAATGCTCTCGAGGCCTACAGATAGAGGGGACAGGCGTTTACCGCATCAACGGGAGCCTTGCCGTCGCAAGGGCGATCGGGGACATCGACTACCGCCCCTGGCTGTCCGGTTCGTGCGCCGTCGTTGTCGTTGCTGCTGCTGCTGCTGCTGCAATGAGTAGTCGTGGCGGTGGTCTTGGTCAGAAGTAGGAGTGGGTCACGGCTAGTTGCCGGATAAAGACAGACGAACGGTGGAATATTTGCGGACTGCAGCAGTGCATGTTTGAGAATGTCAGGTTAGGGCCATCGTGGGTTGAGACTCCGAACTCGTTGGGTGCCTTTGTTAGCCCCTTACCAGCACATGCCGACAAATGTAGACGTTCCGGTCGAACAATGTCTTACCACCGCTGGTGAGAGCACGGTAGTTATGAAGAGGCAAAGATCCCCTCTGAGAAATAGGCACCCGTCTTACTTTTTCATTTTGTTCTTGCGCAGCTTGCCTCCTGCGTTGCATTTATATCGATTGATTACTTGTAATCAAGCATGCACACTCCGATTGTTGAGGCTTTCCGACATGGGGAGGCAACCGTCTTCCTTTTGTTGCTCGAACGGGTGTTGTTTGCCTCCTACGCAGCCTTCACTTCTACTTCGTCGCCGACAACCCCCCCCCCCCCCCCCCCCCCC